ACATGGTAGCTCACAACCATCTGTAACTCCAGTTCTAGGGGACCCAACACTCTCATCTGGCACCAGGAACACTGGCAATTGTAGATACAAACATCCACTCACATAAAAGAAAAACTAAAAAGGACAAAACAGAGCAACCAAGAAAGCTTGGCTGCTCAGTGCAGGCCAAGCACACAGGCTTTAAGGCTTAAGGGATAATAAATGCTTTATCTAGAACTAGGAAGAGAGACAGCACTGTGTGAGTGTGGAGAAAGGATGAGGATGCCCCATGGGCTGCAGCACAGTCACAGCTGTCCTGTGGGCCTCCCCTCTGTGCTAACTGTGCAACAGCAAAAAAGACAAAGTTTCCCAAGTGCTGCAAACAGACATCTGGGGAGCACTTTGACGCCAGCCCCCTGTGCCTACCCCTTGGTCCTGGTGACTCAGTGGGGAACCTCATCTCCCTTTGGTCAGGGAGGCTCTTACCTACAGGATGCCACTTAGAGCACAAGGCTCTGGCACTGAGGTGGGGCAGGCACCTCAGCATGGCCTATCTGGACACCAGCTTTCCTTTTTATGGAATGGTGACATAACAACTGGGTGTGGTGGCAAACACCTGTCATCCAAGCACTTGGGAAGCAGAGGAGAGGGCCAGCCTGTGCTACAAGACACCTGTCTAAGAAGAGAAGGCATGAAACCAGACAAAATATCCACCTGCCATAGCTGCCTACTGGTGGGAGGTCATGCGGGGGCACTCTGAGAGAGCCGTGAGGCCGCAGAGCTGACACAAATCCACCTGAATGACTCAGGGTACCCAGGTCGGCCAGCAGCAGGACTCCAGTGTGTGCCCTGCTAGCCCCAGCCCAGGGAATCCTGTGGTCTGGTCTGGGCTTGGGCCTAGGGACCAACAGAGTGAGCAGGGAAAAGAAGCCGTGTTTTCCGTGCTGGGTAGTTCCTCCCTGAAGGCCACCAGGATGTCACAATCCCAGTGTGCTGTCAAAACTGCTTGCAGGGTGATGAACTCTGGCCTGCAGATGAGTCAACAGAGGGATGGGTTCTGAGTGCCTGCTGTTTACACACAGTCACCGCGGCCACAGCCAGGCAGCCGGAAGCACAGTCAAGGGTCACAGCAGTCAGGGAGGAGCTTAGTCTGCAGCACGCACCCGTCACCCCCTGAAGACTCTAGCTTCTTGTCGCAGTCCTTGGAGAGACTAAGCCTCAGAACCATCCAGCACTTCCCTTGCAATATACACAGGAAACCCATGCCTCTCGGGCCAAAGGCACAAGGCCGCCACACTCCTGATGCCCATACCAGCATGCTACACGCTGTCTGCCTCACAGAGCCACAGCCCTTCTGAGGCCTTGATGTCTGGCTCCTGAGCAACCTCCTTGCTTGGATGTCCTGAGAAGTGACTTGACCTCTAAAGCCACCACCTGTGATATCACCTGAAAACTGGACACTGCTCCCTACGGGGATGGACAGCAGGCACGGGGCAAGCAGGCATGGCACAGACATGCCAGTGAGGTGCGATAGCCTCTCAATCAGCGAGTGTGCTCTATGGGCACCAGCAACTGGCCTGAGGCCCTGTGCACTGAACACACTGGGGACACAGGGGATGGTGTGCTGCTTCCAAGCCCATACTTCACAACAAGGTGGGAGCCACCAGTCCACTCTGTCTGGGGCAGGGTCCTGGTAATTCCAAGACTGGAATCCCCAGGAGTAGGGGAGCCCCGCCAAGAAGGTGCAGGCTTAACTGTGACTCCAGCCACAGACACCCCCGTAGTGTAGCATAGGGCCAGTGCCTCCACTGCCCTCCCAGGCCTATCTTTAAGTCCTTGCTGACGCCCATTCTGGTGGATCTCCCATGTCCATCTCTGCCACTTCCTGAGGATTCTAGAACAGCCAGTGTAACATGAGGGGCTCATCTCCGTGCCTGTGGGCCCAAAGGCCATGGCTATGCTGACAGGGGAGAGGTGTTTCTTTCTGGGCAGGACAGGCCCAGAAGGCAGGCCCCTACAGGCAAGTAACAGAGGCCCAGGAACATGAGGCAGAGCAGAATCCAAGCGAGAGTCGCTCTCAGTGGAGCCTGGGACTCAAATGGGAATGGGACTGCAGATCCAAGAAGGGACTGGAGCTGGGGGTGGGATGGGGGAGCCTGGCCCTTGCTGGTCCACAGATGATTAAAGTTCTAAGCCCTGCCTCATGGACCCTACTGGAACCTTCAATTTTCCTTGACCTACCCAGCAAAGATTAATTACAACGGGGTAGGCAGGTGGAGGCAGGATCCCCACCTCACGGCTGTCAGAGAACATGCCTCCCAATAGCAACTGGTTGTCCTTGGAAAGATGAAGGGACCACGTTTCCTCATCTCTTCTAGAAGCCACACCCCCAAAACACACAAAGTGTCACATCTGCACCAGTTTGGTTTGAGAACTTCCCTAGGTTGTTTATTTGAGAGATGGTCTCATATAGCCCAGGCTTGCCTTGAACTCACAACCTTCCTGCCTTATCCTACCCAGGCCTGGAATCCCAGGCAGTTTTCCTTTTTCATTAGAAGTCCCAAGTGGGCCAGGTTCCAGCCATGCCTGTGGCTGTGCCTTTAGCTGGCATGGCCTCCTGTGCCAGCACAGAACAGGGCACACTTCCCAACCCACTCTACAGAGCCATGCCCAGCTTCTTCCCAGGTCAGACACCCATTCCATAGCCAGTTCCCTCCCGGACCCTCTTTTGGCTACACTGACAGCTACACTGTGGCTACACTGACACAGAAAAAGCTCCTGGTAACTCAAACTAAAATATAAGATGGTGCTTGGGCACAACAGTCAAAAGTGAAGCTAAGGCCAGAGAGTCCCAAGTTTAAAGGCAGCCTGGGCTACAGAGAAGGACCATGTCTTAAAAAGTAAAAATAAGTGGCCAAAAGGTGGTGTACACCTTTAATCCTAGCACTCAGGAGGCAGAGGTAGGTGGATCTCTCAGTTCCAGGACAGCCAGGGCAATACAGAAAAACTGTTTCAAACAACAAAACAAAAATAAAATAAAAGAGTTGATGGCACAGCTCCATGGTAAGCAACTGCCTGTCAGGCTTGAGACCCAGCTGCGGGGAAAGCAAAAGGAGCCAACCTGTGCTGGTTGCTTTTAACAGGGCATTAACTCAAAGCAGGGAAGACAGGAACGGTATGGACCCTGTAGCATCAGCTGATGACCAGTCCACCATCCCAAACCTGACCCCTCCTGCCACCAGAGCTACCCTTGTCTCGGCTCAGACCCACAAGAAAGTTAAGATTTGACCCAAGCCAGACATGGTGGCACACACCTTTAGTCTCAGCACTCCGGAAGATCAGCACTCAGGCAGATCTCAGCGAGGTGGAGGCCAGCATTAACTATGTGGCAAGTACCAGGCCAACCAGGATTATATAGTGAGACCACTTAAAAACAACAAACAAACAGCTGTATCTACCTCTGAAGCTGGGTGGTGGGTACCTGTCTGCCACCTTGGCACTTAGAGCCAGGGGAGTAATGAGTCTGACACCAACTCAGAATAGATCGAAGCTCTGATAATGACAACAGATAACACTCCAAAGTCGCCTTGCCACTTAAGTGTTAGCATTCCAGATAAACACAGATTTGGACTGCCCCAAAATTGAATTCTGACGGCCACACTGCTCAGGCTTCCTCATGGTTGGTCATCATCACACGGCCAGACACAGCTGGCTTCCTCAGGGCACGTGCATGATGGCCTGTAGTTCCACGAGCAACCTCACATGAAGAACAGGCTTAGTTAGGGGGTGTAACACACACCCAAAAGTAAAAATAACAGTATGACGGCAGAGCTGAGGAAGGCTGCTGGGGTGACAGGGCAAGGGCCAGGCGCTGCCACCAGGTACCAAGTCCACCTGAAAGTGGTGACTCATGCTCTGGCCCAGCTGTTTCTGGGAAAAGCCCTATCCTCCACGACTAGTCAGAATGGCCCAAGGGGAAAGACTCCAGGTTGGAATTCCAACCAGGGTGGCTGGGCCCAGCACCCAAATCCCACCACCGCTTCCTCCTCACCTGTAGGGGCGCTTTCTGCCTCAAGGTGAGGAACCTTCCTGACAAGGGAAGAACTACTACTCTTTTTCCAGAGATCTAATCTTGTTCTAATAAGGAGGAAACTGAGACCCAAGCACAGGCAGGAAGTGGCTGGAAGAAGTGATGAAGACAGGAGGTTAGGCTCCCCAGAACACTGAATGGGGAAGAAATTCCTGGCTTGGGCAATGGTGCCGCGCATGTCCCGGGCAGGAAGAAAACCACATTCCTTCCTAGTTACTCTCTGTTCACTCGCCCTCGTCAACACCCCCTGCGCCAGCACAGGCCCAGACACTGACCCAAAACCCCAGTCACTTTAGGAAGATGAAGCTTCAAACCACTTCCCCTGGGGACCTGCAAGTTCTGTCCCTGTGAACGCAGGGTGGTGCCAAGGCTCGAGGGGAGCTTCCAGGTGTGCCCCAGGGTGAGGGTTCCCAACCCCACCGCCAAGCCAGGAGGGAGGACCAAACGGCCTCGAATCTCTCCCAGATGAAGATGGAACATGAGGCAGGGACCAAGTGCGGTGGATACAGCTGCTTCCTCCCGAGTGCCCAGGCAGAGGAAGACTAACATCACCACGTCAGTCTGCGAGAAAAACACATCAGCCTCGTCGAAAAGTGTCCAGGGAGACAGGGTGACATGAGGTGGCAGGATCTGGGGCCAGGCAGTAAGTTTCTGTCTAAAGTACCCCTTTTAAGAGTGGATCCAAGCACGCTTGTCATCCCAGCAATGAAAAAGCTAAGGCAGGAGGATGGCCATCAGTTCGGGGCCAACCTGGGCCACATAGAAAGGACCCGATTTAAAAAAAAAAAAAAAAAGTGTAGGTTCAATTTGAAGGATGTCACTGGGGTTGGTCAAGGTGTCGCCAGGTTTGGACGGGGCCTTGCCCCCCCACAGGTCCCTGCAGGTGTCCCCCCACGGCTCAGCCCACCCGCCAGGATGCCGCGCAGCTCACCTGGTGGTCCCGGTAGCTCTCGAAAGCCTTCAGGGCACTGTCGGTGAGCTTCACGTGGAACACCGACACCTTGCTGCCGTCGCTCACGCGCCCACACGACAGCCCGTAGCTCCGATCCTCCTTCAGCGCCGCCATCTTGCAACCATCACTCCCCCGCCCCCTCCGCGGAGACTGCGCCCGCACGCCGGCCCCGCCCTGCCCCGCCGCCCGCCGACGTGCTGCATTATTCATGAGGACAGCATAGCCACGCCCCTCCACCAGCCCTCCCCGTTGCAACAAGCTGGCCAACATGTAGCAGCGGCCCGCACGCTGGCCACGCCCCCGAGCGCTGGCGGCCCCACCCCCGCGCCTCCAGACCACGGCCTCCACGCGCGCTGCGAGCGCGGCTGGACGAGCTAACCGCTGCGCAGATGGCCGTGCCCCAAGGGCTCTCGAGAGGCCAGTTTTCACAGAACCTCGAGCTGAGGACTGGCCACGCCCCCGAGCACTCCCGGAAACTTCCCTGACAAACAACTCCTAGGCGCGTGCGCGGTGGCCACACCCCCAAACTCTCACAGACGCGCTCCTACCTGACGACTCGCGCTGCATTATTCATGAGGCGAAGGTAGCGCCGCTCCCCACCGTTCCGAAATCCGACAGAGCCCTCTCAGCCGCGCAACCCGCCGCCGAGCTGCGTCCCTTCCAAGCGATCAGCCACGCTCTCCGACGTGAGTGGCCGGCAAGCTCTCGGGAAGCCCCTGCTGAGGCTCGCCTTCCTTAGGCAAAGCCCCCGGACGCGCCCCGCGGCAGCCACGCCTCCCGCCTGCAGCAGGCCCGCCCACAGGTAAGAAGGTCACCCGGCCGCGCCCACGCGCCCCGGAGAAGGCGCCCTCCAGCCGGCTCGTTGCACGCCCCCGAGCGAGCGCCCCGCGCTTGGCCACACCTCCAAGCGCTGTAACGCCCGCCCCTCTGGCTTGCTACTTAATTCCTGGTGCAGGTATGGCCACGCCCTCAGCGCGTGCATGGAGATTGTCCCAGACCTCCGCTTGCCGGCCACGTGCACGACTGGCCGCGACCCGGACTGCCCGACAGACCCGCCCTCTCCGCCTTTGCCTCATACATATTCATGGCGCTGGCAGGTTTGGTTTGTTTCTTTTTTTCCCATCTGCAAATCTTTAGCCCCTGCTTTATATGGAGTATGCGTGAGTCCTTAACACAGGGACGCAGGTTGGCTTAATTTTTTATATTTATGCATTTTCTTCAGCGATCCTGTGCCGGAGGCTTCACAGAGCGGTCAAGAGCGCGAAATGGGCGGGGCCTGCGCGAGCCCGGAGGGAGTGGGCGTGGTTATGTAAACCTCTTGCTGCGTCCAGCTAATGGGGATCCCCAGACGCCTGGTGTCCAGAGCTGTGGAAACAGGGTGGTGTGCCGAGCGTTTCTGATGCTAAAAGCTCAGCAACTGGATGAAGCATCCACGTCATAGATGGGCTGGCTTTCCAATAAACAGCTCTGTAACGCGACAGCCACCACGTCCTCAGTGTTGCGCAATCGCCACCGCTGTCTGCTCCAGAACATTCCTTCATGTCGAAGGAACGCCTGGTCCCCATCTACACTTTTCCCTGCGCCCTCCCTGTCACCTGACATCTCTGATCTTCCTGTCTCTGGGCATTTCATAGTGCGCTCCCACAAACTGAGGCTTTTGAGTCGTCAAAGATGAATCAGCTTCGTTCCTTGTTAAAGACGACGTAATATTCCGTTGTGTGTGACTGACAGCTTTTACTTATCCATCCGATGATCAGCAGCAGTTGCTGGTCCTCACTGTCTACCTATGGACAGTTTGGTTTTTATTTTTTCCGAGACAGGGTTTCTCTGTAGCCTTGGCTGTCCTGGACTCGCTTTGCAGGACAGGCTGGCCAAGAAATAACAGAGATCCGCCTGCCTCCACCTCCCTGAATGCTGGATCACAGGCGAGTGCCACCACACACAAAGTTTTTAAGGTATCATGGGGGAAGAGGTCCTAGATTGTAGCTCCTGACGACTCGCGCTGCATTATTCATGAGGCGAAGGTAGCCTCGCTCCCTCCCTCTAGGCAGAAAGACTCCAGAAGTCTTTGGCTATTTTCCTGGTCACTTAATGCACACAGAGCAAAGGGCCAGGGAATGCTTTGTTTCACTGAGACAGGCCTGGTCTCCTAGTGATGACATAGGTGTGAATCACCGCCCACTTTCGGTATTTTTGTGTATATGAGTGCTTGCATACATGTGTCTGTGCCCGTGTACGTCCTGATGACTTCCAGGCCACAAGCGGGTATGGGGGTTTCCTAGATCTGGAGTTAGATGGTTTTGAGCCTCCATGCTGGGAACTCTTGCATGCTAGCCTCCATGCGAGAGGAGCAAATGCTTGTAGGTGCTGAGCTACCACTCCATGAGTCCAGGCTTGCCTGCAGCTTACACATAGCTGAGGGTGCCTTTGAACTCAGAATCCTTTGGTCTCAGTGTTCTCAGTGGTCAGACAGCAGACAGGCTCTGCCACTGGATCTAGAGTCTTCTTCCTTAACTTGTATCTAGCCTTCAAAGGCAGAGTTGCAGCCCAGGATCCCCAATGAGGGGATAGGGAGCGCGGCTCCCCTGTAACTACAGTACTTTCTGGGCTAGCAAATTGGCTCTGTGGGTTAGGTGCTTGGCACCAAGCCTGATGACCTAGCTAATCCCTAGTACCCACAAGGGAAGAGAAGCAGCATGCTCCACTGCATACATCCAAAGCCCCACCACACAACTGGAAAATGTAAGGAGGCCTTAGATTCCTAGCACTGCAGAATAAGCCAGACACGACAGAAAGCTTGTAGTGCTAGCTACCTGGGGGGCTGAAGCAGCAGGATTCCCATTGTCCAGAGCTCCCAAGACCACAGCCTAGACTACACAGTAACCCTGCCTCTGAGGTAGAGAAGTATGCACGGTGTGTATCAGTGCTATGTCATCTTCGGGGAACGTCAGAGAGGAAGGTGGAACTAGGACATTCGGGGCGGGAGGGTGGGGGCAAGGCCAGTACAAGTTTTGGTGCACAGGAGATGGGGTGTGAAAGGTCCCACCTGCCACTCTGCACCTTCCTAGGTAGGCTGGAGACAGGGCTCCCTAACACCCTAGCTGAGACCAGAAAAGCTTTGGTAACAGGCTCACTGCTGCCCAGCCATTCATCACCAAGACCAGGTGAACACTGGAGTTGGCCAGGTCAGCAAAACGCAAGGACTGCTGGGGCTCTGGAGATCTGCACAAGTGCCGTGTAAACCAGGAAAAGGCACGTTCCCTCTCTGAACTCTTAAGGATTTGGGGAAAACAAATCCCAGAACATCTAAACATTTAAAAAAGATATAAAACTAAAGACTGTAAGTGTCACCTATGTTACCATATACCTGGAAAACCTGCCCTCCCAACACTTGAGAGGTGGAGGAAGGAGAATGAGGAGTTGAACATCAGCCTTCAGCTACATGAGGCCTTACCTCAAAACAGATGCCTTGAGCAGCCGGCATTGTATAAAGCATCACCCTTCTGCTGGCAATGGCAGGAGATATGAGGTCACAGGTTTGGGGAATGGTCTAAGTGGTGCCCTTAGTCCCAGGGGCAGGACAGTGCTGACAGGACAGCCTCGCAGGGCTCAGCTCCCCTGCAGCTCCCTCACCCATCAGCTCTGGGCTCTCAGTTGTAACGTGCAGAGCCTTCAGTCTCTGCTGTTGTGAAATGCAGCACTGCCTTGAACCAGCCTTCCTAATCCACACACACAGGGACCCTGCTCAAGCGCCCACATTCCCTGCCTGGATCACAACTCAAATTCTCTCACACACTGCCGCACTCACACGTGTAGATACACAGACGCTCCTTCTCTCCCATGGACATGACTGTGAGGTCCTCCACCTCTTCCTTGTAGAACTAAGGCCTCATGTGTGTCAGACAGGCAGATATGCAAAAATCACAGCACCCATCAAGTAAAACTGACCCCCGAGTCCACACAAACCCAACAGGACACGACTTCAGGCAGAAGTCCTCTGGAGTCCATTTGTGGCGACCTAGGCACAACCCATAACCGCTCCTTAAAGCAGCTTTTGTTGGTGACCTGGCTCAGCTGTGTGACTCAGGCCTTCTCAGCCTCAGCAGAAACACGCCCAGGAGGCAGTGGGGTGCGGGTGAGGCTTTATTTCATTCACAGTGGGGGAGCCTGGACAGAGGGGCAGGCGGGCAGGAAGAAATGGTAGAGTACTGTCCCCAGGCGTACTGAGAGGGAAAACTGAGGCTGCCCCGGCTGAGGCCCCCAGAGGGCAGGGCTATGGGGGGATGTACAACTGGGTCTGGAGGAACAGGGCCCCTTCCTCTGGGCTGTACCCCATAACCCCCTTCAGGGCCTCAGTCCTTCCTGCATGTTAGGGTGTGCGACCCTCAATCCTTGCTCCCCCGACCCAGAGGATGCGGCCTGGCCAGGGAGGGCAGTAAACAGGGAGCCTGGGGAGGTTGGGGAGCACAGGTCAGGGTCCAGGTGCGTAGGAGGACAGTCAGTTCCTGGCAGCAATGACCACAGAGAGAGCCACGCCCCCCAGGGCCACAGCAGTTGCCCCAAACAGCCACTTCCACGGGATGGACTGTGGATAAAGGGAAGGGTGAAAGCTGGCTGCATAGCCAAAGCAAGTACCAAATCCACACAGGCCTCCTTCAGCAGCGCTTTCACTATGCCTGAGATAGTCCGACACACCCCCAAACCCAAACCAAATACCCAGTCCTGAAGGGTATGTTCTTCCTCTGCATGAGCCTCCATCACCATGAGCCCTACAGTCCCACAGAGTCCCTCCTTCTACCTTGCCTGTGTCCCCAGCATCTCCCGGCCACCCCAACCCTGCCCTGGCTCACCCAGGCCCCCTTGCCCGGACATTTGGCGGGCAGCCGGCTGGGGTTGCCCAGCATCTTTCGGTACAAGGCAGTCTCTGTGCTCCGCTGTGCAGCGCGCTTCTTTACCAGCTTTGAGAGCTCTGCATGGATCGTCTGTGGGAGGTGGGTGGGAGTGGGTGAACACGTGCAGGAGGCAGCTGACCTGCCTGTCATTGCAACTGCTCCCTTCTTCCGGTCCCCAGGTTTGTCAGGTGTGGGGGCCCCTAGGAAACGTGGCCCCATCAGCTCTAAAAAAGTGGGAGCTGCTGTCCCACCCTTAGGCAAGCCAGAAGACAGAACAACAGGAATGACAGAAGGCTGACAATGACGGTTACCAGACAAGCCCACCAGAGCTCTGCTTACCTTGTTGGAAGGCTCCAGCTTCAAGGCAGCCCTCAGGATGGGGATGGCCTCACTATATTCACCTTGCTGAGCCAACACCTATGGGAGACGGGCACCCACTCTCTGTATCATTCTCCTCTGCCCTGCAATGGCGCCCCAATCTTGAGCCACAGCTTGCCATTTGTATCACTGCTGCGCTGGGACAGGGGACTTAGGGACAGGCAGCTCAGAGCATAGGGGCCTCCAATGAGACTCAACATCCCCACAGCCCTACAAATTCCTCTTGATGTGAAGGCAGCTCCCATAATGGGGCAGTTCCAATAACCAAACATCTTTAGATTTGTCCACTGTAGCCCAGGCTGGCCTGCATCTATTGGCAATCCTCCTGCCTCATTCTCCTGAGCACTGGGACTACACTGCCATGCCTGGCTACAATCCCTCTTTAGGCTTCAACTGTGTGGCAGGGCCTGATTTCTACACTGCAGGCTCCTAGAACAGCACAGCTGGTCTCCCTGAGAAGCCTGCACAGCCAGCGCCTCGTAAGCAGTTCTCACACAGCCCAGGTGTCTGCACACCTTGGCTTCCCTGGACTGTGGGGGTCCCAGGGCTGCACCCTCACACTAACACAAAACATAACTGCAGCAGGTGAGGAGGGAGCCATGCAGGGCTGGACAAGCCAGCCGGAGGGGAGAGCCTGAGCTGAAGGGCGGGCCCAGAAACTAGTGGGGAGAAGCAGCGGTGTCTACAGCTAGCCTGGCACGCCATGTCCACAGTGCTCAGGTCTGTAGGATCTGGGCAGAGAGACAGCATGGGGAGAGCCACAAGGTTCAGGGCTCCCGAGGCCATGGCATGACATCACGTGATTTTCCCTCTGGGGAAGATGGCAGCCAGAGGATGGTATATAAGCATTCGCCACAAACTGTGGGGCACCCAAGGCTGGGGCCAGCACGCGGCTGCAACACACCTTGCCCTTGCGGAACAGAGCCTTGATGTTGTCTGGCTGGTGTTCCAGCACCTGGCTGCAGGAACGCAGCGCTGCGCGGTAGTGGTCCAGCTTTAGCTGCGATGCCGCAAGGTTGTTCAGACACTTGACCTTCAGCTGTAGCAGCTCCTCCTCCTCCTCACAGGTCATGTCCACTGTGGGGGAGTGGTCACTGGGAAAGAGCCAGACCCTCCTCTGGGGTCTACACCACACGCGTCCTTACATCACAGTCAGGACCTCAAGCAGCTCACTATGCAGTTGTCCTGGACCTTCCCATGTCCACCCT